AAAAAAAAAGTTAAAAAAAAAATTGGAAAAAAGGGGAAAAACAAAAAAAAAAAAAAAAAAAAAAAAAAAAAGCACTAATGAGCCCAATGCAACAAGAAAACTGTCAACTTCAGTGGACAAACTACAGAGGAATTTCCCTATTAAATGTTACATATGGAATACTGAAAAACGTATTGCCAAAAGACTACAACCGTACATTGAAGAAATACTAGGTGACTACCAATGTGGATTCAGACAAAACAGATCAACGACTGTTTAGATTTTCCTCATCAAATGCCTATTATAGAAATGCTACGAAAATAATATCCCAATTCTTCAATCTATGTAGACCAGGGGTCTCCAAACTTTTCAGCCCGATGGTCGCATTAACTATGAATCAGCAGTTCGGGGGATGACGACACACTCGAGGTCCAAATAAAAAAAGGATCAAAACATGGATGTTGTTTTAATTATTTATTTAATATTATTTTTTTCAGTTATTATTTAATAACACATTGATACACTACACATGAACACCTGTATTAGTGAGAATGGTGGAATTGTTTCCTGGATGCCAAAATAGCAGACAATTCTGACCTTAGAATTGATGACCCTAACATAAACAGTGACCTGAGATTATCCATGGATCAGTTTGTTCTCAAATTGTTCTTCAGGTATTTCATTCTTGTAAAGGTTTTTCACACAGGTATGTTGTTCCAAAGATTGAAAGGTACCTTGATGCAAAAGTTTTGACATTAGGAAAGTCTTCCTTGGGCAAAAACTGGTAAAACCCCACCAGTCCTTCTTTGAACTTATCCCTGAGGAGGTCATTTTCTTGTAACTCAATGAACCCCAGGTCCAGTTCATCTGGGCAACTGGCCATATCTGCTTCAAATGGGTTTTGAAACAGTCTCACTTTTTCTGTCATTAAATTCAAATCTGAAAACTGCTGCTGAAACTGGAGGTATTTGATGATCTCACATGCAAATGACGCGAGGAACTCCGTTGTTGCATCAAATAGAAAAACTAAGCAGGGAATAAGATATTGCAATATCGTGTTCGGATGGAAACCATAATGCACTACTGCGCACTTCTCTTTTGACTCGGTACAAACACAACGACCACGTAAGCGACGGCCGATCTTGGTAGGATCGTGTTCGGATGGAAACCATAATGCACTACTGCGTGCTTCTATTTTGATTCGGTACAAACATAACGACCACGTAAGCGGCGGCCGATCTTGGCAGGATAAACGTATATTTCCGGAGTTTTTTATCTGTAGACAAAAAGGCCTCCCCGGACCAGATGAGAGTGAACCACGGGCCACATCCGGCCCGCGGGCCGTAGTTTGGAGACCCTTGATGTATACTATAAAAATATCCATCAAACTGACAAGATTGATACATAGAACATTAAACAACTCAAAAAGCAAAATCAAGGTTCAGGGAGAATATTCATAGGAATTTCATCATCGTCATCATCATGTCCCTTAGTCCTTGGACCGTTGGGGTGCCACAGATGACATGTGAAACATCCTCCTCAGGTGGAAATCAGCTGTCAAGAATGTGGCTAAATATCATGAAGCCGGTTGTGTA